ACAAACTATGGTATACATACTAGAATTTTAATTTTTTTTTTTTATATATTAGTAATGGTGATGCTCAGCGACTTATAGCAGGACTGCAACAGTACGGTAGGCAATCTGATACTGACACTTTGTGGGAACCAGCGATACTAATACAGTGATGAATGCTAAAAATATACACTGTCAATGTACTAATGACACTGGCTGGGAAGGGGTTAAACATCTAGGGAAATCGAAGGGTTAAATGTGTACACAATTCGTGTTTGTGTGTACTATGAGGGGCTTTCACCGAGGGATGTGCCAGTTTTTATTCCCTGCTTTGTAGGGGAACAAAAACCGACACATCCCCACTGACAGGACAGAGGTCTGCATTGTTTACAAAACCAGAGCTCTGCCCTGTCTTTCTCTAGGTCAATCAGCGGGTTCCAGTGGTCAATCACCGGCCAGCACCCACTGATTGACTTCTGCTGTGACTAATCACAGAACAGCCGATGCCCGCGCCCCCTACCCGGAAGTGCCGGAACATGTACCGGATACCAGATCTGGCACAAGAGAGCCGCTCTGCCACTGTACTCCTACGGGTGGTGGTCAGCAAGCGTGTTTCCAAAGCCAACACTTCCTTCTTAGTTTTAGATACAGTAGGGAATGCTTAGTACCTTATTGATGCTCTGTTTATTATCGGAGGGGTTCACACTGTCTGTGCCCTGAAGACCAGTGTCGCTAGGACTAAAATTGATGGAAAAATCCAAAATGTCAAGCTCTCACTGGAAGAACTAAAGGAGAATCAAATATTCCAATGATCAATTGCTGCAGTGACAACTGACTGGATTTCCCTGATTTCTTAGAGATTACCTTTTACTTCCTATTGTGTCTACTAGACAAGAAGTAAGAGTAATTGTCCCCAATGGGCATTATTTACTATTTTTCTGCACATTAAAACATACACACTATATTCCCAAAAGTATTGGGACGCCTGCCTTTACACGCACATGAACTTTAATGGCATCCCAGTCTTAGTCCGTAGGATTCAATATTGAGTTGGCCCACCTTCTGCAGCTATAACAGCTTCACCTCTTCTGGGAAGGCTGTCCATAAGGTTTAGGACTGTGTCTATGGGAATGTTTGACCATTCTTCCAGAAGTGCATTTGTGATGCTTTGTGCATTTGCCTGGCTCGCAGTCTCCGCTCTAATTCATCCCAAAGGCGTTCTATCGGGTTGAGGTCAGGACTCTGCGCAGGCCAGTCAAGTTCCTCCACCCCAAACTTGCACATCCATGTCTTTATGGACCTTGCTTTGTGCACTGGTGTGCAGTCATGTTGGAACAGGAAGGGGACATCCACAAACTGTTCCCACAAAGTTGGGAGCATGAAATTGTCCAAAATGTCTTGGTGTGCTGACGCCTTAACTAAAGAGCTGAGCCCAACCCCTGAAAAAAAAAATGCACACCATAGTCCCCCCCTCCATCAAACATTATACTTGGCACAATGCAGTCTGGCAAGCACCATTCTCCTGGCAACCGCCAAACCCAGACACATCCTTTGGATTGCTCTAGAGTCCAGTGGCAGCGTGCTTTACACCATTGCATCTGACGCTTTGTATTGGACTTGGTGATGTAAGGCTTGGATGCAGCTGGTCAGCCATAGAAATCCATTCCATGAAGCTCTCTATGCACTGTTATTGTGCTAATCTAAAGGCCACATGAAGTTTGGAGGTCTTAAGCTATTGACTCTGCAGACAGTTGATGACTTCTGCGCACTGTGCACTTCAGCATGTACTGACCCCACTCTGTCATTTTACGTGGTCTATCACTTCGTGGCTGTTGTTCCCAGTTGCTTCCACTTTGTTAACCACTTCCTGTCCGGACACTTTTACCCCCTTCCTGACCAGGGCAATTTTCAGCTTTCAGCGCTATCACACTTTGAATGACAATTGCGCGGTCATGCAACACTGTACCCATATTAATTTTTTACCATTTTTTTGAGACAGATAAAACTTTATTTTGGTGGTATTTATTCACCGCTGGGATTTTTATTTTTTTTGCTATGTAAATGAAAATGTCCAAAAATTTGGAAAAAAGTGTTTTTCTTATAAAAGTTTGCAAATAAATAATATTTCATCATAAATCTTGGTCAAAATTGATTCTGTTATCTTTTTAGTAAACAAAAAAATAAGCCAAATTAGTTTATAACCAAAAATTATAATTTTTAAACATTTTTATATTATTTATTTTATTTTTTTTACTGTCACCCTAGCAGTACAGTGTCACCATGGTGACACTGTACTACTTTTGGGGGGGTGATTTTTTTTTTTTTTTTTTTTTTTACACTGATTGCTTTTACATCCATATAGGATGTAAAAGCAATCATTTCTCTTTCTCTCTGTCTGCATTCTTGCAGCCATTGAGAAGTACTGAGTGAGCTGTGATTGGTCACAGCTTGTCACATGGTACAAGGCTGTTGTGAATAGCCTTGTACCATGTGACCTCTGTGATCATACACAGATTTCACATGTAGTAAGCAATGATGTCACAAGTGACATCTTGCTTACTACTTTGCATGTGATCACTGATTGGCCAATCGGTGATCATGATCACATGATCGGGGCCTCGCACAGAGGTCCCGTCCAACGATCGGTGTTTCACTGTGTCCGGAGGACACAGCGGGCACCGGATCGCAGTGCTGCGTGCTCCCGGGGAGCGCGCACAAGCAGACCCTGCAGTACCACCGTCCGGCCGTTTATATACAGCGGCCGGTCGGGAAGTGGTTATAAATACCCCTAACAGATGACCGTGGAATATTTAGCAGCAAGGAAATTTCACAGATGGACTTATTGCACAGATGGCAACCTATCACGGTACCACGCTTCAACTCACTGAGCTCCTGAGAGCAACCCATTATTTCCCAAATGTTTGTAGAAGCAGTCTGCATGCCTAGGTGCTTCATTTTACACACCTGTGGCCTTGGTGGTGATTGGAACACCTGAATCCATGATTTGGAGGGCTGGCCCAATACTTTTGGCAATACAGTGTAGCTTTAAAATTGCATCTATACCTAGCACTGTGTTGGAAAGATTCCTTCACCTGTCCCCAGGACAGGAAGTGATGGTAAATCTTTCTATGGGCCTGCTAACCAGACCGTGGTATGGGAAAGGCACACTCCGTGTGCATTTCTCACATCATGCTCCAACGCACTGCCCTTGCAATCTGCTGTGAGTGCCAATGAAAATTTAACAGTACCCCAAAAGCAGATTGTAACTGCAGCGATTGTGGGCACCAAATCGCATGGTAACAGTACAGTGTGAATTGGTGCAGCAAATTTTCTGTGTTTCGGTGCGATCTGCAGCCCATTCAAATGAAGTTGCACCGCACTGGAACATGTGGGAATCACACAGGAACACAGCATTCCTATGCGATTCCAGTTCACACTGGCAGTAAGGGTTAGAGGGGCGTACACTGTGAAAAACAAGTATATTTCTGTAGCTGTGAGCGACACTCGTTATACACAGCCTCCTGTACAAATCAATGACAGTCTGCGGCTGCACACTGGTAATCGCACATCTGAGCAAATACTTGTGTACTGGGATGGATACATGTCACCGGACACAGGCAGCTTTGCATCCAGGGCTGCTCGCCTGTCCCTGGACAGAAGTAAATGTAGATGCACGATTACCAGCCTAGCCGCAGCCTGCTTGTTCTTCATGGTGCAGGGATGTGCCATTCCTATAGCCTGACACCCGGGACATGCAGTTTCAGGCGCCGGGTAAGAGGTTTTTTTTTTTTTTTTTTACATTTAGCTCTGCTGCGGGCAAGCAGCAGGAATTAGAGCCAACAGTTGGCTCTCTTGTAAAAGAAATCCGAGCAGCAAACTAGCCACTGGATCACTTTTACAAGTGGCGGAGGGGACATCCCTCCTTCTGTAGGCTGTCCCGTCGCACCAGGACACCCAATCGACCATCTGGAACTTCCACTGGCTGATCATAAAGGCGGAAAAAGACCGGAACTCCTCTGTCCACCTCTATGATATAGGAAACAGGAAGCGATGAGCATATATCACTACCAGTTTCCCCAGATGTAAGCGGCACCATTTTTAAAAATGGAAAGCATTTGATCACACCAATCTTGTGTGATAAAATGTTTTTAAGGGCAGAGGAGGGATCTGGGGTCTTATTGACTCCAGATCTCTCGATAAAGAGCACCTGTCACTGCCTATTGCTGTCACAAGGGATGTTTACAGTCCTTGTAAAAGCAATGAAAGTGATCAAAAAGAAAAAAAAAATTTAAAGCAAGTGTTAAAATAATTTTTTTTTTTTTAAAGCATCCCTGTCCACACACGCAAAGGCGAACACGTGTCAGTCCTGCACACAAGCAAATAGCAATCGTCCCACACATGTGAAGCATCATTGAGAATGTCAGAACATGGACAGCAATTCTAGCACCAGACCGTGTCTGTAAATCTAAGGTGGTAACCTGTAAAGGCTTTTAACCTCCCTGGCGGTATGATTATTTCAGATTTTTGGTGCTGAAAGCGGTACCATTATTTTCCATGGAAATTTGGCGTTTTATATTGTAGGCCTGCAATTCTTAGGAATAACTCACTGAAATCTGTCCGAACAAGAGTCTAGTAAACATCCCGGGTATGATAAAATTTGAAACACGAAATCATAAATTATAATTTAAAAAATAATCATAAAAAATAATAATATAATAATAATAAATTTAATTCAATAATATAATCAAACCAAAAACACTGAAATTTGAAATATAGCTCCAAGTTTGCACATCACTGAGCAAAGTCGCAAAATCGTTTTCAGTGTCTGATGATGAATTTCCCCACGAATCATTATCACTCAATTCTGCAAGTGGTTCTAATTTACTATCGCTGTTCTCTAGCTGGTCTAAAACCGCTTTTGACCTAAAGGGACGCTTTTTGGACGCCATGGACATTTCTCAGTTTCCAGGCAGAAAGAACAGTAAAAATGAAGGCAGGGCACAGGACAAAGCACTAGGGACAAAATGTATGTGAAATGGTTTGATACAGTAATGTTTTACTATGTGATTTTAGTGATTTTTGTGAATGTCACTTTTTGTAATTTTCAAGTTTCCCGCCGTTCCGTCCCCTGTACGTCCCGACGCTCGCAGAGGACGGAACCCAGATGACAGATGCCGGGATCCGCCGGATTTCATTGCCGGGAACACTGCAGCAGAGACAAGGTAAGTGATCGAGTGATCGTGGAGCAGCGCCGCATGGTAAGCCCGAGTGTAGCTTGGGGTTACTGCTTGTGGTAATGAAACTTTACCCGAGCTACACTCGGGAATACCTCCAGGGAGGTTAAAGTGTGGCTTTTGGATAGTAAAATTTGAGTTGTTTGTTGCCGCTGCATGGGCATACACAATTTTAAACTGTGACATGTTTGGTATCTATTTACTCAGCGTATCATCTTTTATATTTTACCAAAAATTGGGTTTAGTATTGGGTTTTTGTTTGCATTAAAATTCAAAAAAAATTTTTTTTTTTTTCCAAAAAACAATTGCGTTTGAAAAAAACTGCTGCGCAAATACCGTGTTACATAAAAAAATTGCAACAAACCCATCAAATTTATTCTTTAGGGCCTCTACTTTACAAAAAAAGTGTATGGGTGTTCTAAGAAATTTTCTAGCAGTTTAAGACGTCAAAAAGCCCCTTTCCTAAAAGCACCTCTGCCTAATAAAAAACATCAACTGGCAAAATTTTTTTTATCATCAGGACAAGTAGATTGTCACGAGGGACAAGTAGACTGGGACCCTGATTTAGTCCTTGGACAAGTAATTTTTTAAAAAATGTCCACACCCCTGTGGTGTATATGTGAATGAGCCCTAACAACAACACAGACAGAGTGTGCTGGAACATCTGTCAGTGTTTTATTGCTGTCGGTTTCCCTGTTTCAGATTTTTCCTCACTTCCTGTCTAGTTAGAGGTCGCCTCCAGAACAGGAAGTGAAAGGAAATCTCATGTACAGAGCCCCAGATAGCAGTAAATCCTGACAGGGGTCCTTACATGCCCCCATTTTAAACAAATAATTAAAGGTTTGGGTATATACTTTAAAGCTCAACTCTGGGGGAAATAAAATCCTCCTTTGCAGTGGAGCTGTGCATGCACTTCAAGGGTTAAATGCTTGTTAATGTCTAGGGGACTGGAAAGTCACTTTGCGTACCTGATCCTCTGCACCCCCAGCAGACAGTGCTCCTTTATGCTACAGAAGTAGATTGTTCCTCAGTGTTCTCATGTCCAGTGCAGGGCTATGGTCCCTGCATCTGTCTCAAGGATGTCAGAGGGCATCCGACCTCCGAAGCGTAGGAGAGTAGAAGCTGTGGGGTAACAGACTAGCAGTGCTGAGGTACCTGCTTGATCAGGTAAGTAAAACTGCTTTTTCTAGTCCCCTAGATGAGCATTTAAAGTGTTACTAAACCCAGGACCCTGCATTCACTATATCTGGTCTCCCACAGTACACAGTGCATGGAAGTGCAATTATTTTAGTAAATATAAACTAAAATACCTTTTCTCATCAGCAGTTAGAGCAGTCTTGTGACTTCTATCAGTGTCCAGCCGAGCATTGGTTACAGCTTGTAGGAGGAGTTTTCATTTTGCTCTAGGATGTAGAACACCTGACCTCTGTGCTGATTACATGCACCCTCCCAAGAAAAAGAAAAAACTCTGTACTTGTACACACCAAACTGAGCATGTGCAGTGTCCCCAAGGCTGTGTTCTATCAGGAGATGAAATAGGGAACGTGGAAGAAGGGGAGGATCAGAGAAGACAGGATCAAACATTCTTTTTACACAGTGCAGAGGATTAACCCCTTAGGTTCCACAGTGAGTATACCAAGCATGTTTTACTGCATATACAGACTGATTTTACTGTTGTGGGTTTAGTAACACTTTAAACCTCACAGTGCCAGGGAAGCCCACTACAAGGAAGGACTTTACCCCGAGTTCAGCTTTAAAGGTCACTATGTAATAAACACGACATACTTATTAACCCGTCATGTGAGTACACACATCACACAGCAGGTATACTGACACAACACTGCACCCACTCTCACATTAACCCTTTGTATGTTGTCTTCTCTCTGATGGAGAAGTATTGTCTTCTTTTATGACAGAAATACAAAGTGGACAGAAAATGGAGACAGATCCCAGTGACAGTTCTGAGAAATGATGTCATACAGCGTGGAGGGAATGATGTGAAAGTAGTAAAAACTCCTTCCAGCACAGGCTGAACCTCTCACCAACAAATGAGCCACGAGGGAAGGATAGCGATCGGTATGGTCACTGGGCTGGTGATCATGGTGTGCCCCATGTCTGCAGAGATCAGAGCCTTGTTGTGATGACTGAGGGGGGGATGTGTACTCCCCTCCCCCCAGGCCTGCTGTGTACTCAGTGATCACCTGTCTCCCCCCCAGCCTCTGTACACTCTGCTGTGATGATGGCAGCTCCGCTGGAGGAGGAGGCTGATCTCATGGTAATGCTGTGACATGCTTATAAACACCATGCACACCCCCCGATCCCGCACACAAGACCCCCCCCAACTGCTCCAGTCCCCTTTACCTGAGTCTCATCCCAGCAGATCTCAGCCACCAGCCGCACTGACAGCCTGCTAGAGGTCAGCTGATCACAGGGGCGGGCCTCCGCGCAGGGGTAGGGGCGGGCCTTTAGCTGAGAGGCACTCTGGAGAGACCTAGAAGCAGGAAGGGGGCGGACCTTGCCGAGTACACAGTACACAGCAGGGAGCTGATGGAGGACGGGGTGAGCGAGGGACCAAACCTCCTCTGTCAGCGAGTGCTGTGCCCTGTCCGTGTAGTGAAGGCTTGTGAATGGCAGCACGGTAGACGGTGTGTGATAGCACAGATCTTATTAGGAATTATGGCGTGTATTGAGGCGACCAATAAGGGCATTCGTGATGGAATGTTCATGGAGTCCTTCCTCCAAACTGTAATATAAAGATGACTGCAGCCTAAAGGGGCACTGTATTGATTACAGTGCCTGTTTACAGTGCAGACCCCTTTATATCACAGTACCCCTAAACCTCTAATCACAATGCCCCTATACATTCAAAGAGATGGCCAATCCAGCAAAGAGACATCAACCTGTAGCAAAGAGACATTCCAATCCACAAAAAGACGGGATGTCTCTTTGCTGGACAGGAATGTCTCTTTGCTGGATGGGGATGTCCCTTCTTGGACTGGGATGTCTCTTTGCTGGACCTAACTGAGCAAAGAGACAGCCCAGTCCAGCAAAGAGACATCTCTACCCAGCAAGGAGACAGCCCTTCCAGCAAGGAGACAACTCAACCAGCAAAGAGACAGCTCAACCAGCAAAAGAGACAGCCCATCCAGCAATGTGACAGCTCAACCAGCAAAGAGAGCCCACCCAGCAAAGAGACTGTTCAACCAGCAAAGAGACAGCCGTCCAGCAATGAGACAGCTCAAACAGCAAAGAGACAGCCCGTCCAGCAAAAAGACAGCCCAATCCACCGCTACTGCAGACCTGTCACAGTGTGCCCACCAGGGAAGGAGAAAGGCCACCGTTGTCCCTTCAGAGCCGGCTGAGGAGGTATCTGTGTGTCCTCGGCGGCTGCTACCTGCTCTTCACTGAAGCCATCACTGCCGCTCCTCCTGTCGGCCCTGCTTTAGACACACAGCGGGAGGTGAAAGGCGGCCACGGTCTGTGTTAACTCTGTCCAAGCTGCGGTTGCCGCTTACCTCCTGCTGTGCAGCTGGTCATCAACAGGCCACTTTTCTAAAGCCTGGCAGCCCCAGCCCACTGGTCAAATGCGCCCCATTCCTGCTGTCCTGGGTGGGTTTGCCACCTTTTCTTCAAGCCAAACACGTTAGCGGTGCAAAGCAATTTTTTTTTGTTAGTATACACTATACATGTATTTTATAATTAACCACTTGCCTACCGGGCACTTATACCCCCTTCCTGCTCAGGCCAATTTTCAGCTGCACTGATGGGCACTGATAGGCAGCACTGATAGGCGACACTGATGAGGCGGCACTGATATGCAACAATGATGGGCACTGATAGGTGGCACTGACTGGCGGCACTGATGGGTGGCACTGCTGGGCACAGGTGGGTGGCACTGCTGGGCACTGATCATCAGTTCCCTGATGTTCAGTGCCGATCTGTCCTCTGGCAATTGCCGGTTATCAGCGTGAGGAAAGTGGAGCCGATAACCGGCAACTGTGATTGGCCTTTTACCACATCACGTGATCAGATGTGTCCATAGGACACAGCGATAACGGAGATCTCCGCGTGCTCGCCCATGGAGGTGTGCGGGAGGGTGCGTTCTGGCTGTGATTGGCCTTTTACTACATCACGTGATCAGCTGTGTCAGTAGGACACAGCGATCATGGAGATGGCCAGGTGCGCACTCCCTGGGGCACGCGGGTGGGTGCGTTCTGGGAGGATGTCATATGAGGCCCTCCCAGAACTGGACAACCACACTGTAGCCATCATTTGGCTATAGCGTGGTTGGCAAGTGGTTAAATAAGATTTTTGATCATATAGATTAAATCATAAGAGTCCACCCTTACTACAGAGTCCACAGAGTTCCCCCTTTACATCTGAATCTGCAGACTTCCATTTTACATCTGAATCCGCAGAGTTCCCCCTTTACATCTGAACTCACAAAGTTCCCTCACACTGTAAGGGGGACTCTGCAGGGTCTGATGTAAGGGAGAACTCGGGGACTCTAATTTAAGGTGGGACACAGAGAACTCTTATGTTAGGGGGAACGCTGCAGATTCTTGTGTAAGGGGGAACTCTGATATAAGGGGGTCTCGTAACCAGAGCCCCCACTTACATCAGTGTTCTCAGCATTCCCTTTTGATCAGGGTTCCCAAAGCCCCTTTACATAAGAGTTCGCACAGACCACTCCTTACATTAGTGTATTCACTGGGAGGCAGGAGAGAAAAGGGAGGGAGGGGGAGACTTCAGTCACAGACAGGAGATAGAGGGTGAGCTTACTCACCCAAGGATGGAGGATCATACATCAGTTGTCAACACCTTTCCTCTTCTGGCTGGCGGGTGCAGTCTTCAAACTTCCCGCCCACACATTCCCGGGGAGCATGGGTGGAGTAGACACCGGGGGAGAGGGGCAGGAGGAGGAGGAGCAGATGAGCTCTCTCTCCTCTCCCGTCCATGGGGGGGGGGGGGGGGGAGATTGTCAGTGCTGGTCTGAGTTGTATGTGAGTGACAAATAACACTGTTCAACAAATTTTTATTTTTTGCCAGTTTTGGAAACAAAAGGATCCATTTCTTAATGAATTTCACATTCTGAGTTCAAATATAA